GGAAAAGGTAACAAGTTTCTTTAATCCCCATATAATTTCTAACCCGTGCTGATTTCCAGTTACTTCCCATACAAACATCCCTCTCTGCGTGTGGCAGAGCTCTTTGGGCTGTTCTTCACACCAGCGAAATTATGTGTCATTCCCTTGGGAACTGAAACCTTTTAGTATCCCTAAAGCTGCAGCGAGTGGAAGACATGTCTGATAACTGCTCCTCCAGACTGGAACGTGATCATGTTTGACCACGTTTCGAAATTGCCTTCCCTGGGTTTCTCCACGACGACCGCACGTGACAAGCCAGTTTCAAGTGAAGTTTCATGCCAAGCATTGCCCATCAGGGTTGGGGACACGCTCTTTATTTACACAAACCATGTGACCAGGGAACTAAAGCAAGAGAAAAGCCCCAATTCTTCAAAGTGAACCACCTACCCTGCTTTACCTGGGCATCCACGCACAGGCGTATTGAAGGTAAGAGGTCTGTACTAACCAGAGGGGCTGGCCAGCTGCTTCTCTCGGCAGCCCAGGCACCACGGGCAAAGCTAAAATCCACACTGCAAACATGGAATATCAGCAGCAAGCTGCCCACAAGAGGGAAAAAGCCACAAAGAAGTGTGGACATTGTTTCACCCAACAACAAATATTTGCATTTTAGAATGTTTAGCATAAAACATGGCCAAGTTGAATGAGAAACGTTATTTATTTAACATGCATTCCAGAAGTCTGACTGACTCCAAAGCTTGGATGATGACTAAATACCAGGCAAAACAAAGCAAGCCAGCAAATCCTCATGGGATCAACAGGCTAGATTGCTGTAAATACCACCACCATGCAGTGACGTCCCCAACAGGCCTAGCACGGCCCTCAGGGCAGCTGAGACATTTACCCTTTATCCTGAAGAACAACCTACTTAGGAACTCCAGGCTTAGTATAAATGCCTTTTATTTGGGGTTTCGGGTTTTTTTGGCTGTGCAGGACTTTGCACACAAATGATTTGGTAGTGGCTGCATTCTTCCTCATCTAGCAGGAAGCACCAAAGTGTAACCTTGAAATTAAACAGGTTCAATGCCAATGACTTCTTCCATCTGTGCAGCAGAGGAGGGCTACAACGGCTCCTCCTGGAGCAGACTGACCAAAGCACAGCAAATCCATGCTGAGGAGAAGAGCAGTTGCAATCTCATCCATTTACAACAAACTCAGTGAGACCTTAGGGTTTATAGCAGTGACTGCTGGCTAAGGTTAGCTGTTCCTTCACTAACAAATAAGCAGTAATAGCATCAGTGAAAGGTCCACAGCACTGACAAGAAGGCTGTTTTATGAAGGTGGAGTGGGGAGAAGGGAATGCACAGAAACACGAAAAAAAGGGGAAACAGAAAAGAAAACTGAGTTTTTCAAGCTGCTCCCCGGCCATCATTAATAATGTATTTCCTAAATATTACACTTTATGTAAACTGTCATCAGTTTCCCCCATGGTTCTCAGGAAGCAGTTCTAGAAATCAATACTCATCCCCGTCTTAAAGATGGGTTTTCTACAGTATCTTTCTTGTCTTAGCGCAATCTTTCTCTTGGCACAAACACCCCACCATTTAAATTAGCAAGGATCTCCAGTTCTATAGGATGACACAAGAATCAGTGAGAGGGCATTCCTTAGCGAAAATGAGAAATCCTGCATTAGGGTGGAAATACTGTCTTCTGGAGCAACAGCAACCCCCTACTGCTGACACTCCTTCCTTCCCCACCTACACCCCTGCTGGTAACGTGTGGGGAAGAAGAGCTACCCCAATCAGCAAAGTGAGAACAGAGTATTAAAACAGACTGCTCTTGGCTGCCTATACCCGCCTGCAGCTATGTGACTAAAATAATAAAGAACGGAAGAACTATATGCTAATGATGAGCCAATTAACCAGGGGGAAAAGCTCCTCCGATGGCAGGCGGTGGCAGGGCTTCTGAAACAAGCGCAGCACATTAAACCTGAGGAGTGTAGCAGGAAATATTTTTAACATTTGCTCACTGGCAAACCCAAGAGAGGAGCCTCTCTGCTGTGCTCACGGTGAGTGGAAGCGCCAAGGAGACTTCCAGGATAACAGAGTGCCTTACCTCAGTGGTTGAAAGCACGGTGTCCTCATCCAGGCTTAGCACCGCATCTGTAACTATGTTGTCGTAGGGAAGGAAGCGACTGCTCATAACCTGTGGGTATCCAAGGCGAGGAGGGGAGGAAAAAAATCACTTGAAAGACTCATTTCCAAGGGAAATACTCTTTTGCTGCTCATTCTCCTTTCTTTTCATCTGAGTGTGTCTCACAGCGCATGTCTCTATCTGATGGAAAGGACCCCTCAGCTCAGGAGTGAAAGACTGTCATTTTCATCACCTCAGAAGTCAGCTTACATCTTGTACCTGAGGGATTAATTTCTGAACAGATCTCTCGCTTCGGAGTGGTCTGCCTTCCTTATATGACAAACTGTAACTGTACGCACCAATAACTACATGCACCTACAGTTTCTTTAGGGAGGATTTTCTCTGGTACCTAGGATTGTCCCTCTGCCCTCCTACGGGGTGTGAGGATCAAAGATGATGAAGTGCTGAGAAGGCCTTTGTAGCATTCATAAGGTTACGCAGTTGGGAAGCTAATGAGTCCAGGTTGCATGTTAGGGCTTTATCTGCTGACGGAAGTTATGCTACTAGCATAAAGTGCTACAACTCCATCTCTGTGCACTGCTGTTGTATTAACAGAGCTGCTGTCAAATGGAGCAACTTCTGCCAACAGAAAAGGAGAACAAGCTAAAGAACATGAGAACACTGTGTCAACTGAGCTTCACGTGCATCAGAAATCGTACTGGTATTGTTGTATCATTTATAAATGTCACGTTCCTAAGTGACATCACTACATGCACATAAAATCTATATACACAAAAGGCTTTTAAGAATTAGGGCACGATAGTTCGCAAAGCAATAGGAAATACATAGGAGAAAACGATACAAAAGATAACAATGAGAAATGAAAATCCATACGGTTTCTTTACTAGGCTAATTAGCACCTTTTGAGAATTAATGAATGGAAATAAGGACGCAACACTATTTTTCCCTCTCACTTGCTATGAAAAATAGCCTGGCTAGTTAACAGACTCTTTGTGTATACACAAATGAGTGGGCTATCTATGCTTATCTTCTGACAGATAGCTGCAGAGGGTATTGCTATTATTCTTTGAAGACATTTGTCTGACTTACTATGCCAAGAAAACACCACAAAAAATCAGGCCGTGGAAGAGGAAATCACTGCGGAAACAGGGACAAGGGATCTATGCCCAGATCCAGAGAAAGCTCTGTCTCCTATATTCAGTTGGTTCACTGTGTCCTTCTGGAGAGCACCTCTTTGTTGCTACGACGGAGAGGCCATGGTTGTGAGGAGGAGGTGACCTGGCAGGTGCTGAAGGTTTTGCTTTGCTTAGGCAAAGGCAAAGCAAAGGAAGTGGCTGTCACGAGACTTGAGTTCCCATCCTAGCTCTCTTACAGACTGTGTAAAATAGGATTAACCGCGTCTTTGTTTTTGTAGTTAAAGCTCCCTGCTGTAAATTGGGTGCGATAACATATCTTCGTTCACTGGGGAACAGTGAAGGTTAGGTAAAGGCAGACCTCTGTGATCCCCTGGACAGAATAACTGTCTGCCAAAACGCTTCAGTCAAGTTCGAATATGACAAGCAGTTCCTTTGTACACCTTTTGAATTGTACTGCTCTGGCTCTGCAAGCCTTCTCCAAACAGAGCTTTTCTGCACAAGAAGCCATTTGGCATACGACGGGATATTAGAGAGAAGAGACTGTCCACTATAAACACACCTTTGTGTACTCAGGAGACTCATTTGTAATCTAAATAGTGCCTGGGCCAATTTCTACATACCCTGATGAACTAGTCAAAGATTTTCTCCTCTATCTCACCCCTCAAGCTTTCCAAAAGGAAAGAAAAAAACCCCACAATGTTCAAAAAGCTCAGAAATTACTACAGTCTTTCTCAGCCGCAGCTCTCCAAATACTGTTTACATGGCTAGCTAAGGCAAGAGCCATTAGCTGCCAAATTAGCAGGGCCCTAGCTTTTCCCTTGTTAAGTCAACTGGGGGAAAAGAGCAAAGACAAGACTGTAAATTCAAAATAGGATTGTACAGCCAAGCAGCTAAAAGTTCACTTTGCAAATGTGGAGCTCAAGAGCCAGCAGCTGACAGAGATCAGAGAGGAGACCAGCCCAAATGTGTCTGCAATGAGTCCAGAAGCGACAAGCCCGCTTCTCTGAGGTCTGGATTTGGAGGGGAATCATCCACTTCAGTGCAGATTAAAGAAATAAAAAAGGCCTCTTCTCTCATCTGAGCGCTGGTTATTTTGACTTAGTGATAAGTGCAAATGAATGAGTATGTTGCATAGTAAGATATTCTGCAGTGGTTTTGTTCCTGTGTGAGGGCCCCTGCCCCTTCCTTTTTTGCCTTGGGATCCCATCACTGACAACAGTATCCTGCTAGGCTGTAAGAGAAGGTACTTTTCAAAGGTAGGTTAATACATTCATTCTCATATCTTCCTCCGCTTTTGTGACCACAACTGATCCCTAAGCCTTGCATCTGACTACTCAGGCTGAATGAATTCTGCTGCATCTCTACTTTTATGCACTTGCCGATAGACAGAAATCTCCAAGGATGGGTCAGCACTACCTCTTCTTGAGGGCACACTTCAAAACTGGGTCCCCCCCGTGAGTCTCAAACTCGCAGCGTTAACTGCCAGGCTGGCGATTACTGACAGCACAAACCCCACGCATCAAACACAAATCCATGATCAAGTTGACACAAAGGGCCACAGAAAAGAAAGGGGCTGTCACACAGCTGGGAACTACAAAGCTTTCACCAAAGCAGTTGGAAAAATAAACTCTGGTCCCACTAGAGAATATATGCAATCTTTTATGATGCTCCTCTCCACCTACCTTGCTCTCTCCTTCAATGACTATGACAGGCACAGAAGTGGCAGGCCAGCGGTGTTTGGCTGGGAGGGGTTTATCACAATTCCATAAAACAATAATCTGAAAAAGAACATTGGACCATGATCAGAGACCTTCGTGGAAATGCAGTTCAAACCCTAAGGACTCAATCTCCAGATAGAAATCTCAAATTCAAGTTGGGAATTTCGAAATCAACAACATGATACAAATCTGCATAAAAATAACACTTCTGACGGTAATTTCACCCATCCTGGCTGTATACAACATACATCCTCTAAATCAAACGTAGGTTGGACATGAACTCAGGAAGTCTCTAGCCCAGGTCACAAGGCTGTCAGTGATTTACCTTGGCACTCATAAAAGGCTAAAGCACTTAACGGCTCTCTGCTGTAAGAGGGTGCTCCTACCGAGCTCTCCAGAGTTTGTTTTACGGAAGCCAAAGTCCTGGCGCTGCTGCGACTAAGAGCCACAGGGAGGAGGAAGGAAGATCACGTAGGGGCCCTTGAGGCACAGACACTCCCTGTCTGCAGCACATGCAATCCTGATCTTTAAAGTGCAGCCGCTGTTTTACCTTTCTCATGAAACAAATCCAGGGAGTTTAGTTATTGCCTCTGTTGCACTCACGCTATACTCAGAATTTGTTATTTTCCACGCACGCAGATCACAGGCAGCAGAAGTCTCAGAGAAAAGAGACATCAGAAAGGAAACAGAAGTGGGAAACCAGCCTGAGAAGGTCAGCAGGCTCTTCAATCCTGGGATAACACTTTTGTCTCCAGTGTAACTGACACATAACAAATAGTGTTGCTTACCTGTGCACAGTACTGGGACTTGGCTACAGCAACCAGGAGTTTCAGCACAGGCTGAGATTGGGAAACCAAGGGAGTTACTGCATGGATTACGGCAGTGAATGTGGACAGAGGCTTCAGACCTGAGATATAAAGAGACATAGGTTCAGTGAAGACAAAATTGCCCCATATAGGTAGAGATTAAAGGACTCTGAGATGGAAAAATAATCTACACTTAATGAAAACCTTGCCATATTTTATCAGGCCACCACCTTCAGTTTCAGATAGTAGTCCCAGACGCTTCTGAGGAGATTACACTTCCTTTCAACTCCCAAGCCCTCTGAAATCCCTGACTCTGATACAACTATTGCCTTTTCTTACTCACTGTTTTCACAGATGCCCTACTGACACCTAGCTTGTTCAGCAAAATTTTTTCCTTGCCACTGGCTCTGTTTCAATGCCAGGCTCTATGGATATCTCCACAGTTTCCAGACATTTGTTGAGTTTCCTCAGTCCCATTGCACCCTCTGTCAAATTTTTGCTCTTTCTGGAAGGATCCCCATCTACACTCATCTTCAGTTACCTCCTGAGCTGATAATTCTGCTTGCATCCTTGTCTTCCATTCTGATATTTTTGTTTCACTATGTTTTCCTTCTCTGCCTGAAATAATACATCCTACTTGCTTATACCCTTCATTACTGCTTTCAATCTTATCTACATTCATCTGTGTGGGGTCACAGTCATTTTTCATCAAAATTCCCACAGAAGCCTTCTTCTCCTTCTTTAATGTGGTAACTGTGATTTTTTAGCAGGTGGGCAGTACTCCACACAAGTGGGATGGTAAAGGCTGTGCAAAAAGTGGAAGCAGTCCAGTAAGTAGGAACCCTTGAGACTGCAGGCATGTTCCCTTGCAGAATTCATCGTTTAGTGTCTGCTTCTGGAAAAAGCCATGGACCTATGTCCTACGCAGTCCTTCTAGCAGGACTCATGTGAAGACACACAGCATGGGGAATAAATCCATACCAACTACCCACTCCAGTCACAAGTGTTATGGGTAAATTGCCCCTTATTTTCTAATAAAAAATACATGAGCACTAATATATAAGCATAAATGAAAAAATAAAGCAAAAAATTGTTCCTTTTGTGTTCGCTTGGGCCACAAACGTGTCTGCAACTCAGGCACTCGTTACCGATAACTGAAAACTATGAAGGGACACAGATTTTTTTAAAATAATCTTTGCAAGTGAGAGGCACATGATGCATGTTGATGAGTCAAGTCTACAGTGGACAGGGAAGACTGAAATACGATAAACCAAAGGTTCATCATTTATTAACTAGAAATGAATGGTAAGTCATCTGGCACATGCTGCTCAGAGATCAGTAACACGCCAAATACCGTGAGAGTACAGCAACGATTCACTTACCGAGATTAGCATAGTAGTAAGGAAAATCTCCCAGATATGAGGAATACTGTGGCAGTACAAATAACCCTCCAGGATGTTTGTTCCATATTAAGCTGTTACGTGATATGTGCTTAAATATTCTGTCCTGAATAATCTGGAAAACAAGAGAGGCAATGATTTTTAAATAGATTGTAACAACCACTGGTAGAAGCTGCACAGTCTCCAGCTGACTGGAATCATCACCAATTTTGTAAAAGCAGCAACACACAAATCACTAGGCATTCCTATTTAATCTCTCTTAAAACGACACAGAACCTGGATACTTCAACGCCACTTCAGCAGCTCAGGCTTTGTGTAATACGTTTCAAAGCACCTCATTAGTCTCTGTGGACATGGGAACCTTGCAATTCATTGCATTCTGTATTTAAAGCCAAACATTTTGCCTTTTAGAATAACTTACCAGTTGTGAGCCCAATTAGTTCATTGTCAGCTGTACTATCCAGAACTCACAAAAGATAATTATTTGAGCATGGCATTACAAAGCTAGGTATTTTTTGAGATAACAAGAGCATTCAAAAACACAAGGACTTTCAGCAAATCAGGATGCACTAATTATTCATTCTTGCTTAATTATAAAGGGTTATTAGTATTCAGATACGTCACCAATTCCATGTCCCAGTTCTATAGCAGCTCCTGTTGGGTGAAATAGAAATAGAACTTTTGGCAACTACTACCTATGTTTGTAGAGGGCCGCAAACATAGATTTATAGATTTTTAAGACCAGAACAGATTGTTAGGTCATCTACTTTATCATCTGGAATCCCACAAACCACAAAAAAAGATGCAGAGCTGTACACTTATGTGTATTTATGAAACTAATTATAGTTGCTTCAGATCACTTGCCAGCATGTATAGCTTCTTACACTAATGGAGCTTTTTTAGACTTGTTGCAAAGGCATAACCAGATTCAAGGGTGGGAAGCTAAAACTGGACAAATTCAGCCTCCAAATAAGATGCAACTTCCTAAGTACAAGGGTAACAAAACAACAAGACCATCTTATCCAGAGGACTGATCCCAGTGCTTGGTCCCCTCAAGCATCTTTTAAGGATTATACTTTCAGAGGGCTGTATTTGCCTGGGGTGCAAAGGGCAAATGCAACAATCCACAGCAGCGGATCTCAGTGTGTCCTTGTCGATTCGTTTCCCTTCAGGAGCTCTGGGGAAATTGCATTGGCTCTATTGCTTACAGCTCTTCATGCAGTCAACCGCAGAGACAGGGATTCAGATGGCAACCTTCAGGGTCAGGAAGGATCTTCCTCGCACCAATCTGCCTGCGATTCACGGTTGGGCTACACAGTTTTACTGATTTGCCTTCTTCTGAAGCGTCGCCGGTCAGCTAGATCTGGAAATGGGTTACTGGGCAAGGGCTGGGTGGCGGTTAAGAAAGAATTGCCCCTCAGTCACCTAAAGCCTTTCCTTGCCTCCTTCTGCAGCCAGGGGTAGAGCTCACCTTCTCGGATACGCTAGGGAGATTTCACATAACTGGTAGTTTTTGCATTGCATGGGGCTCATGTGCTATGAACACGCTGGGTTCTCCAAACCCAACATGTTTGTGTAACATAGGCATATAGGCATATCTGGGTAAAACTTGATGACTTGAAAGTCAGAGTAACTCTGCTCCCTAGTTTATTCTGGCCTTAAAAGCTGTGAACGATGGAAGGAATATGCCCACAGAATACGATAACCAAAAGCAAGCAAAAAGACCCAAATAACAAAACCCAGACAGAAGCAGCTGCTGGAGTCAAAGCAAATTTGGAATATCTACAAGCAGCTGAGCTCAAGGACAATACAAAAGGTGTCAAGGTGTACAAGGCCAATACGAAACATGAATAAATGTTACCACAACCAGTGGTTTTCCTGGATTTTTTGATTGCCTTGACAAAAGAAACATATTAAAATACAAGTTACTTTGTGCTAGCAAATCCGCAGCTAGTGACCATGTATATACTGCTAATCTGAAATGGGAAGTGTTTGCATGTTTGCATTAATTTTAGCCTACAGCCAAATATCATAGCTAATATGCAGTAATTTTCTCACCTTTCTAAGCTTTAGATAACCTTTTTTGTGGGGGAGTAATAGAGTTATGACTATATTTCCGTCACTGATAAGAGCGTATCTGAATACTTCTCTTTGGAAAGTTAGGTGTATCAGTCGTCAGATCTCCTGAACGGTAGCGGGGTGGGGAGAAGAAAAACAAAAAAGATGATGACTGCTGTTTTTCCATCTGCAAGTTGCGCTGCTAAACAAAGACAGAACCTAGAAAGTACATATTTTCGAGTGTTTACCACATAATCTAAATATTACAGCTCCTTCCTACTGTTTTCTCACAACTGAGGCATAATCAGATAAGGAGAAGTCTGCGAATTTACATGGTCAGGAGGTTTTCACAGATGGCAGAGTCTTCCATGGCACTGGTAGCCAACAAGGCTGCAGGGGAAACACATGGCTCCCATTCAACACCGCCTCAGCGCGCCGGGGGCGAAAGCAGCTCTAACACGAAGCAGCCCTCTGATGCCATGCGATAGAGGCAGTCTTCATCGCATGTCAGGCATACCAATCTCCCTAATACTGTTACTCAACAGGCTGGGGAGCTGACCTGCGTAATAAATCACCCCTAAAAAATGGGAGGTTAATTTATCACACTCCTGGTCAACATAAGAAATCTCACTGTCTGTAGTGATAGAAGAAAAGACAAGCTGGCAGAAGGAGAACAGGGGAGGATAAAAAAGATAACATGGAGGACTAATCAATTAAAATTCAAAGTATATAATGTTCCATGTATTACAGAGATAGCAGCTCTATGGTGTCTTCAATGATGAGGCAACATAGGAAGTTTAATAAGAAGGAAGGGGTTAGGATCTATGGCCAGATCTCCCTTTTCTGTTTGGAGTTCATTAATGGTACAATGTCCTCACACACTAACTCTGCCTTTAAAAAGTTCGTAAGAAGCAGCCTTAATCATTGCTGCTTCTTAGTACACTACAGTGAAGCATCAAACACCTCTTATATGTACTTTGCACTCTCCTTCTCCGCTCTTCTTCCTGAGGGGAGGACTAAATATCCTGCGCAGGGATCAGGTATGTTTGGATTGGTTTTTACAGAAGACCCAAGCTGAAAAAGTGCAGAGTACGCTGAAGGGTGTGTCGGAAGGGTGTTTGAGGCAGCCCATTGCTTTCTGCCTCCCGCTTGCCAGCCTGAGGCGGACTCTAAACCAAAGCCCGTGGACCAGGCCGCTCCTGGGCACCAGCGATGTGGGGCTACTGGTCAAAGATTTCAATCCTCCCACTACAGGCAAAGAGCTCTTTGGCCCAGACCACCGAATGAGCTGAAAAAGGACTTTAAAATGTGACTTGATGTTTTAACAGGCATCCAGGATAAAAGGGAGAGGAGAGCTGTGTTGGTGAAGAATTTTTCTGTCCTAACATTCTCATACCTGGACAGGTCACAGCGTTGCGTATTTAGCGACATCAGAACACTCCAGTACTATAGTGTTACAACAGAAGATGGATAAAATCCACCAGAAAAACAGTCCTGCTAGGAATTTACTTCCAGGCATCAGATTTTAAGCAGAGAATATGCTGCTATCAGACTTCTGACATTATGAACCACTCTCAACTGTTTCATTCCTTTCTTAAGGAAAGTAACTCAAGACATTACTGAGGCAAGTTGAAATGCAAAATACATACCTGTTTATATGAACAGAACCCCTCTTAATCATCTTACAAATATTGAAAGTCTTGAATTAAAAAAAAATCCTCAAAACAAAACCACTTTCGTGAACAAACAAAAGCCCAGGACACAACTTCAATGCCAAGCATGCATTCCTTGCTTTAATTAAATTAAACCTTCTAGGATAGTTTTTGTTTTCTCTTCAGTTTTTCCACTCGATACTGCAACTTGCTGGTTGCCCAGCTGCTTTGAGCTTTATTTCAGGTTCTGATGCCTGTCCCCTCGGCACCTACGGCCACATGGGCCACCATGCCCGGGGGAAGCCCTAAAGATGCACATGCCTGTGCTGGCGCTTGATGTGACTGACGCCAAGGCTCAGGAACGGCACGTAACCTCCCCATGGGATGGCCACGACATGGCAAGGAGAGAGGCTGGGAGGAAGGCCAGGCTGCCCTCTCCTTTTCACAAACCCTAATGATAATGGTGCATGCAGGGACAGGGCAGAGATGTCCAAGGCATGAGGCACCCTGATTGTCTCTCAGGGTACTTCTATAAGAATAAATCAGACCCTGGGAGGGCAAGCCCTGGCGCAGGCCTTCCAGCTCAGTTAGTCTGATCCCGCCATGGTTTGGGGCTCCAATAATTACCTCTACCTCTTCAGCGCTCATGGAGAGCTTGAGGATGTGGAGCCCAACAGGCAGGAGGGACAGGGTCATCCTCTTCTCACAGGGGAGGACAGCATTGCACGGAGGCGAGGACAGCTATGGCAGGGGCTCTGAAAATGTTCTCTGGCTGGCTTTCCTTGTGAGCACAGACAAAACCTAAGGGACTATCCTCCAGCAGCTGGAGGTAGATCAGCCATGGGCAACCTGCACCGCAGACCAAAACACAGGCAGCAGCTCTCATTTGCCGTTTTCAGGGCAAAGCAAGCACAGCAGGCAATGTGGAGTTTTACAGTTGAGCGCTAAGACAGATGCAATTGCAGAAGCATTAGCATAAGACAAATACATTTGCACCTACAAAGTGAGGCACTTATGGTGGTAAAAGTATGTCAAAAATTCATGTGCAAAATTGCAAAACAATTAGAAGAGAAATCCACTTTTGAAATTGTAGCCTGGGCCCTACTTCTAAAGAGTCTTTCATCTCTGCTCTACCTCCGAATTCAGAAAGGATTCTCTCCACATTTGAGATCATCTGTCCCGTTTTAAATAGCAGCCTAATTATGATTATTTCTTAATATTTCATAGAAATGATCAGGACTTTCCCTTACCCTCTGTGGGAAGATAAGACTTGGTGATTTACCAGCTCCCGTTTTTCTTCAGCCAGACCAATAGCCCCATCAAAGGGCATCAAAATGTTAAGGAACGGTAGAAAAGGAGCTTTACAGTAATATTTTTTCCCAGAATGAATTCTAGAAAGGTTTCTTAAAAAAATCATACTCATTACCACTGACAAGAATAGTGATTCATAAGCCATAAAGCCTGGTGAAGGCAAGATCACACATGACAACTTTTCCACATGTCAGATATCTCCCATTTTTCATCAGGTCTGTTTTCTAACGTGGAATCCAATAATGAAGAAAGTATTTCTTTAGAGGAGAAAAGCTATCAAGATGCTGCGTTTGTTTGTTTGTTTGTTTGTTTGTTTTTGTTTCCTAGTGACCAAACTCGCTTCATGAAAGCCACGGTTCGACGCGGGCTGAGCCCAGGATCGGCTGGACAGGTAAGGAAACCTCGCTGTCCTGTATGGTCCCAGGTAACTTTTACTCACCTCTAGTGTAGTCAATACAATCTTCTCAACTGAAGAAAAATAAGCCTCCCACAAGAACTGTGTCTGCTGTCTAAGTGCTAGGATTTTATCCTGATGGATAGACCTGATTGTAGAAGGAATCTGTAACACAAGATGTAATAGAGTCATTAGCTTCAGCAAACACTGCAACCTCATCAAATTAATACCAAGCTGCATGGATTCGACGCTCCCTAGCGCTCCCATCCGCCAAGAGGTAAACCAACAGGTAACGCCCTGATGGGAAATGAATGACACACATCCCTTTATGATCTCTGGCACTGGCCAACCTTAGAATACACAAAAACAGCTCTGTGTGCTTCCTCTTAGTTTTTGGTTGTTTCTATGGCAACAAAAGCTGCCTCTCCCCCACTCCTCTCCCTCAAGCTGTGGTGTGGCACAGCAAGGAGCTCCTCAATAAATCCCTCACACACAGACCTTTTCATGGACCGGCAGTTTAACAAACTAGTACCTGCAGGACTTGAGAGTCCAACAATAATCTCAAAGTATATTAAAGGGATCTGGAATTGCATTTACCACAGCATGGCCACGCTAAGCGCCCTGAGGTAAACACAGCAACATCTGAAGCAAGACTCTGGTTTTTGGAGCCTGCGGATCAAATTGCATTTTACTAATTATTGTGGGTGGAAAGAACAGCGCCTCCCACCACACCTGTTATTCACAAGGGAAAACAATGCTTCTTTCTTCCTCTCTCCATTAAAGTAACTCTTTAATTCTGGTATAAGTTGCCTTACAAATAAAAACCAAAGAGTCCTACTGCAATGCTCACTGGCTCAGAAGAAGCAGGGCTTCACGTCTGCTTTTTTCCTCACTCCCACTTCTTTCCCCTTCCACACTGGAGGAAACCCAATGTCTATATGTGTCACCTTTTAATTTCCTAAGACCTCACCCGAGGCTTCCAGGACACTACTTTGACAATGCAAATGGACAGTATCAAAGGAATTTCACTGTAATTTACTCCAGTTATAAGGCCTGCTCACAACACTAGAAAGGCATCTGGGATATTTTTCACATTTACGTTCATTTATTCCAGGAACGAGGAGCTGTGCTTTTGCACCTCCTTTTTACTGGGATTTCAAATTAGGCCACTTCGTTCTCAGTCACTCATTTCTCGCCAATCTTTCACCTCAGTCATTAGTTGTGATAGCAAATCGCTTGGCTGTGTTGCTTTTTGCTTATACCAGCTTATTGCGACGCTTACCTGCACCCCAGCGCATCCCCCCCGTCTCCTGAGCTGTACGCACTTTGCTTATTCCTGAAAAATTCAGAGCGAGAGCTGGCAATGATCATTATTTGGTTTCGCACGCTCCGAATGAAACGGTTTCATAAGAAACATTTATCTGAGGAAAATTTGAAATTTTAATAATTTATATGTAACGCATTTCCACAAGAATCAGTAAATTCTTTACTGCGCTGTTTGCCTGCAAGTCTGGACCACAGCTCCGCAGAGCCACGCAGCACCAGATGTGGCAATCTCTACTCTCTAAGACTTTAATCTAATATACTGATTAACTCTATTACAGAATTTGAGCTTATGGGAGAGGAAGGGCTACAGCAAGGTGGCCTAGAAGAAAACGGTCAGAATGTCAAAGAAAGACAGTATCATTCCTCCGCTGCAGTCCCCCTATGTCTCTATGTAAAATATTCACGGCAAAACAAGTATGAAAAGCTGAAGTTAAAACATGTACTAGTGCATGTTTTTCTAATCAATTACTTCATTATTGCTGAATAGTATATAATTGAACCAAGTTTTATCTTTTCGGGTGAATATTCTTTCTTTTCATCATTTTTAGACCACAGTTCCCATAAATGCAGGGGCACTGAACATTATCTGTACTGGCTGTACACAGACATGCACACAGTCATACCCGTGATCATTACCAACAGCAAACACGTGACCAAATGCACTTCAATATGGCATTTCCCCCCCATAATATGGCATTTTAATATGGCATTCCCCCCCAATGGCATTTTAATATGGCATTTCCCCCCTAAAATTAAACATTTCATTGCACGACATGCAGCCTCACGTGTGTGCATACGTGTACGAGCAGGATATAAAATCCGTACTCATTCCCAGCTATGCTTTTTGAACGTGAAGGCTGCTCTGACCATGAAGGTTACTGCCATAAGTTATCGCTGTACAGACTACAGTGTGCTTGTGTGTGCCTGCAAATGCAGTGCCAAGGTGAAAAAAAAGCCCTGGTGCCTGCTCTGTTGCAACAGCTGGAAAGAAAAACCAGAGCTCCCGTTTTAACTGTATTTGCCTATTAGTTATTAATCTACTTGTCCAGAAAGACAGGTGGGGAAAATGATGTATTAATACTAATCTGGCAGGATTACACTGGAATTATTAGAACTGGATGACGTCTTAATGAAAGGTCATTTTGGTAATAAGGAGGGGGAGGGCGAAAATCATGCTACACAAATAAATGCAGAAAGGCTGGATTAAGCTTTCCTAGTGCTATGATGAGGAGAATATGCAAATAAAAACATCTGAGCTGCTCTAAAACAGGAAATGAAAAACTGTAACATAACAAAAACATTTCCCAGAGCAGACATTCAGGCCCTCTGCCAGCTCTTTAAAAACACTGTTAATAATGGTGCAGTAGCTGTTCAGTATGGAAGCAGCTGTGAAGAGAACGAATGGCATGTTACAGGAAAGCATGAAGATCAGCAAACTATTATTATTTGAAGAGTGAAATAATTTTGCTCACAGAAAATATGTTGTCCATAGAAGCAAAAAATCAAATGTCCCTTTTATGTTTGCAGCTTGTTACTCTTGTTACTCATTAATGACTATAGGTAGCACTTTAAGAGAACTACTAGGCCAGTTCTTTACAAATATTTACATCTTCAGATAAGTAAACAGGCATCTAATGAGATTTTCAAAGGCGCTTCATTTTTTGGGAATCAGGACACCTGTACCTTGAGGACTTCTCTCCATAAATGACAGTAGCTTGACACTTTGGAAATGAGCTGAACTCCACAAAAACAAAAGCCCTCTTCCCATGCAATACGAAGGCAGTCAGTGCACAGCAGCTATTGCATTCAAAACTCCTACCCTAACGCTCAGTCTGCAAAATCCACTGTTTATTAAAAAAAAAAAAAAGTTCTAAACATCCTGCCTTCTCCCTATTAATATCAAAATGTGTTCAAGAGGATAGGAAGAACATCCCTGTAACCAAGGTGGAAACTAATATGTTCAGGATCACATAGCTGTTTACTGGCTATTCTAGGAATGGTCCTAGATCTCTTGGATCTCAGCTTAACACCGCGCAACAGCCTTTCATCAAATGCTACTTTGGAGAAATCAATTTTTCAATAATGTTTCCTGACATCAACTTCTCCACATACTTTAAAAAATGTAGTTAGACTATAAGACTTGTTAGGGAAAAAGAAAAAAAATTTAGTGAATTTAGTGACAAAAGTAGATGCTGAAGGTAACACAGCATTTCCAATTTCTCAGCTCACTTTTGTTCCAAGATCTCAATGAAATTAACAATTAAGTGATATGAGCACGGTTTCAGAAAGAAATGTTATGTGATTCAGATATCGAAAAAGAGACAGGTTCTGCTTCTCATAAAAACATTAGGGATTAACTCCTTCTTGAGGAGATACCTGCTTTCCTGAGGAGTCCTTGTGGGACCTACCAGTCAGATAGGCAGTCCTGGTGCTGTCCCCCAAGAATAAAGTACTTCTAAAGCATAAGAGCAGAAACGTACGTCAGGTGTTTTGTGTCTCATGACAGCATCCAATTCCAGACAGCCTTGCCTCAGAGAGGCATCCAGGTGCTCCACACCGAGAGAAATCTTGAGCTCTTGGAAAAAAAAAAAAATTTCTTCCATGTAGGAATGTGGCCGAGTGGTCTGAATGACCTTCAGGTCAAAAAAATGAATGATGTCATATTAAATGAGCTCATAGCCAGTGTGACACAGACAATCCCTTCATGATAAAAATTCTTTTACAGCCTTGACCTTTTGGATTCATCTTCCCCGTCCATTTAGATGGCAGCAGTGATAATCAACTGATCCGCTGAAGGCCACAGCCTTTTCCTTACCTGTAATAACAATCTCTCATCCCCTATGACGGCAGCTTGGTTCCAATCAATCACTTCTGAGAATGGCAACTCCCATCCATTGCTGAGCATCACTGGGACACAGGCAGCCTGCACACAGAGCCAGCGCAGTCATTAGAAGATATGCTGTGCGTGTGGTCAATGATTAGTGCAAACTTTGAGGTCCATACCAAGGCAATTACTGTAATTTTCTGCAGAACTTTTGACCCGGCTCTCATGAAAAGCAATCAAAAAGAAAGACAATACGGCAAAGAACACCCGGAGCTCGAGACGACAGCATAGCAGCCCAAATTTTTATGGCTTTCCTTTCTACGCTCATTCATATTCACTGAAAGGTAGGTTTTGCAGGCAGAGTAGCAACTGAAAGGCTGTGCTTATCTGTAGGACTAGCAAAGAACCGGTAAAGTCCTAGAAATATAACACTAGAGAATTTAATAAAAAATTATGGCCTTTCTTGCTGCTTTGTGAACCATTCAGCAGGGAGCTAATTCCTTCAATTTTTATAATATGCTGTGAGACAACTCTATAGAAAATGTATGTGATTTTTAATTCTAGAGCATTTTTTCCATAAAGCAGGTGAGAAGTTCCTATCCCATTTGAAACCGTTTCTCCAAGTGGAAGCCACTGCAAAATTTATCTATCATCGCTGGAAATGAGTCTACAAAAATAATTGCTTTCTGTTTAAAAAAAAAAAACAAATAAAAAGCATATACCTTTAGCATGTATTTCTCAACAGTATGGTTCACCTCAGTTATCTCGTTTTTTATGTGTTGCGCAAGTTCCTTGGCACAGAGAACAACTTTGTGGCTACTCAGTAAATAGTGCAGTATTTCCGTAAGTAAGTGATTGCTGCTACATTCTGGTCAGCTGGATCTGAACACAGGATCCAAACCAAAAGCTCATTGAAGTGATGACAGAATCTTCTCTATTAATAGAAGATTTGCCTCAAGTCAGTGCTCTGGTTCAGTTTCTTTTGGGCCAAACTAAGCTTAAATGCTCTGAGTCTGATCTAGATTGGGTCAGTTCCCGAAGGACGGAATACAGAGGAACTTTCAGATTGCTGTACCTGCGTTTGTAATATACACTATACATGGGATCTTAGACTAGTCAAGTCTCTGTATTATAGCAGTACCTTTAAAATGTAAAGAACTGCGATCCTCTGTAAGGAAATTACACTAGTGCGTGAAAAAAGACAATCAGAAAACACTTAGCAATCTATTTCCTTGTTTAAAACATTCCACTAATGTGAACGATGTCTTTCAACATTCCCAGGAACCAGACAGAAATTTAGAACTCATCATAATCTGAACTCATCATATACTGCTGCTAGCCCAGTAGGAAAACCCACAATCCCTGCATTTTATCATCACCATGAGGAAGCCCTCCAAGTTCTGCACAGTGATGCTTTCTTCTCCTAAGGCTATCTATCTAATGGAAGCTGCATGAACTGTGCTGATCTTGGGCCAAGTCAAGGAAAGAGTTGACCAGTGCTTTTTAGAGGATCTGAAGCTACTCGTCATCCCCAAGAAGCTTGTCCCACTGCTTCCTCTGAAGAGGCTGGGCAGGGCACAGCACTTTGCAATTGCAAGCCATTAATCGTCTCCTAAGTAGGAGCAAAGAGGAGACAGTCCAGTACTTGAATCTCCCATATGATACTAGGGGTGGGATACAGTGGCTAAACATAAGCGTCCAATGCCTTTTGAGATGTTCTAGGGTATCTGACACACCCACCCAAGGCTGGCAGATACGACGCAAGAGCTACAGGAGACTTGCACCGTTCTGGAGAAGTAGCTGAAAGCCAAAAGGGTAGCCCAGGACTTCTAAACGACACTACACATCTGCATTTATGCACCGGAATCCCACTCTACATTTTGTTAAACAATACTCTACTTTTCAATAGTGGCTGGGACGTTTTGTGGATGATGAAGAAAGGTCATGTGATTGTAGTTACTTAGCAGCTTTACTGCCAACGTTGGGACAGTTCCTGCATGACAAAGGCAGGACCCTGTAAGGTGTCCTCATGTGCAATCTCACCGACACCAAGAAGTGCCCCAGCCTCCTCTTCCCTTTACGCTGGCTTCCATGTAGATTAAATCCAGACGCAAGTCCCAGAGCGGAGCTGCAGCGTCCCCTGCATAGTTGCTCACTATGGCTGACTGAAGATGCAAGACCCCAGGGATGAGTTGACGTTTGCGAAAAAAAAAGGTCATGCTGGCAGCAGTCAGTGGCAGGCTGATAACAGAAACCTTACCGGCGTGCTGCCAAGCTTCACTGCCACAGCGACTCAGGAGCCACTTTGCTTTGCTCTCTGGTGCTGGCCAGAAGCAAAAGAGGTAGACCTATTAACCAAAGGGTTTTGAAATGGTGAAGGGGATCTGAGTGCTGTCCCGGACACAGTCCAGAAGAGCCAATGTAAGCTGTCTGAAACCAGCCTACATCAATCTCCTGCTTCACGCCATGCTTCCATTTGGGGCTTTAAAGTCACCGGGCCACACTCTGCATGGTCAGCACGCAGCGTCACAGGACAGACAGTGCATAAGCAGGGTTGCTAATGTGAAAACAGAAAGCTATTCTTAGTGCCCCAGGGTTTACTCGGAGAGGTCAGGGTCTCCCAAGGGAAGCCTCACACCTTGATAAAATACTGCCCTAAATCAACCTAACCTCAAAGTCGTCTACAACCAGCGAAACCCTCTTCCTGGAGGTAATGCAATTCAGCCTTCAGATGAGCTCAGTGCTCAGCCCCTCCTGGGAAGAAGCTGCCAATTGCTCCACAAGTATGAACAGAGGCTTCTGCAAAGTGGATTACTGTCCACTAGGGAAATGAAGCACGTTTCCCTCCTCCCCACTGCCTTGCTGTTGCATGCTCAACTCCAGCCAGCGGAGCCAACGCTATAAACCCTGGCTCTTACCTGCAACGCTTCCAGAAACCTGAAAGAGCCAAGCCTGCGGCCACGGGGAACCAGACAGAAAGTGGCATTGTGCAGCATTTCACGGTAATCATACCTAACAAGAACAGGGGAGAAAAGAGAAAATTCAATTAGTGGTGAGTCCTAAGGTAACTGTGCATGAAAATGCAAACAGCTGCTGAGACGCATCTGGATAAAATCACTTCTGATGAAGGCCGCTCACCATCAGGTTAACTAGTGGGGTGTGTGGGTGTGGGTGTTTACACATGTGTTAGCCATCTCTCACACTCCTTTTTGTTCATCCTAAGGAGTAACCAACGTGGGAAAAAAGTTCAGGGAAACAGCAACAAAATTGAGAACGGAGGAAATAATTTTGCCTTAGCAATAATCACTCTTTTCTGTATAAATAGGTGAGCATGAGTGCACAACAATAAACTTATATTAAATGTTTTCATATCCAAAGCGCTGTCATGGCAATGCTGTGAATCTGATTTCTATTCAGATTTAGTCAAAGTCGTGCACAACCGTGTTCATTTTTGCCTAAGAGGTTTGTAAAAAGCAAGAAAACATTCAGATTATGCCATATAAATCTTTCCTTATCAACCAGGCATTAAAAAGTGGGGTGGGCATTTACAGGGTCTGGCTCTGTGGTTGTTGTGATGTGCGGTGAGAGGAAGAGGGATAAACTGCTTTGGCAGCCAAATTTTGGCAATTAACCAGGTAGTGGCAATGATCCCTGCTCCTCTGAATTCAAACTTCAGGCCAGACACTCCTGGGGTTTTTCTGATGCCATCAATCACTTCAAAACCATTTACCAAAAACACGTATCAAATCCGAACAGTTTCAAGCTAGCTATTAGCTTATTAGCAGCTATTGCACTTCTGGCAAACCTATGGACCTGGAAACGGCATTGACCTCACTGGCTGGCTCGGTTTGAGACAAAAGGATCAAGATTAAATATCCCTCATTTCTGAAGGTCCCTGGACTCCGGAGATAGATGCAATTTTGACAGTAACTTGGGGCACTGGAATTTTCTAACACTAATAATCTAACTTAATCATAGCTGGCAGGCGCAGCAAATTTGTTTGTATGCGTGTACATGTATGTATGTACGTATGTATATGATTATATTTTATATATAAAAAAAGTCTAGAACCACATTTATAATCTCACACAGGCCAGACAGATGGGAGTAAGCCAATTTTCAATTATAAGCACCCTCTTTAGGAAGAGACATCTTGCAAAGGCCCATTTGCTTAAACAAGCGTGTATAGCTAATTTGCACAAGAAAAGGTCACTGTGAATGGATTAAGATTATCTCCACTGAGAGTAAAATAAAAACCCTCGTTGCATTAATTAAAACTACAAAACAGACTTCAAAGTAGGTGTCTTTAAAAATCAGGTCTCAACTTTGGCTAAATAAAATAAATATATTCCATATGAGTAGCAGCAGTTTCTTTTTCTCAGTGTGGAATATTGATCGGCAACTAAGTCCCCGCTCAACAGTCAGCAGTGACGCAGCACATGGAGGGAAAATGCTAGGAAGCTGGAACACAGGCAAAAAAAAGGTTGCCATTTTTAAAGCACTCTTCTTTTCACATACTGAGAAGTCTAAGCCTCATCACTTTCACTGCATATTGCATGACAGAAAGTTTTAATAAATACCAAAAATAGAATACCCCGTAGGGCTAGACTACACCAGTCATGAGTCCCCCATCATTAGCTTCCTAAAAATGTAAAAACCTGTTAATACCCTGGAATGCAACAACATCCACAAAACGTCAATGGCAGAATCAGAACACAAAGAAAAAGCAGAGAATGAGGCCAGTGGAAGTGAGACCGCCAGATGCCACCAACTTTTCGTCTTGAGCACCTTTTCTTCCATATCTAATTTGCTGATACTAGGATCGTTTTTTCAAAAGGGGGAAGAAGAAAGGATTTTGTTGACCATTTCCCACCTGAAAACCAGTTAGCATCTCGCTCCCGTTTGTGCTTTTTAAAGCTTAACCTATGATTTATTGCTTAGCTGAGGAATAGCACGGTCCATGGTCATCAAGCAATTTATCTACATCATGCATACTCCGAGAGCCTCATCCTAGCCTTGATGTATGGGCACAAAATTTCCACTTACTGCAATGAGGCCTCCCAAATATAACACGAGCAGAACCAGAGCAGAGCAATATCCATCAAGATATTCAAGCTACTGTTAATGAATTGCACCAGAGATTATTCTCACAAACAAATTTCATTGCAACTTCAACTTAAAGGTTTTAAGGTGGCTCAAAACACTCTCCGAGAGCAGTGCTAAAGGAGTCATCTTGAATTTAATCCCCTGCAGCTAACATTCTGGGATTAATCATCTCTTTCTTTGAAATCCTTGAACACAATGTGCTAATTTTGCTTTTACTAGTTCCAGGATAGCACAGAAAGGAAGGGGGGGTACACTGATTTAACCAAAAGATAGAATACAGCCCAATATGCTTAAAAATGAATTTGGAAATGCATTTCACACAACTCCTGCAAACAGACACAAGGACATAAATATCTCTGCCAGTTACAAGCATGTCTTTGAAATGCGAAGCAGCATTTATGGTGGAAATGTTTTATATGTACAAAATAATACTTTACAGTACAGTCCTTAGCAGAGACCATTTCATGTTTTCTTCCTACTGCCACGCACCATTTGGAGAAGACACCAGCTATAAAAACGTTCAGTGCTAAATTCTCCTGCAGCCCATAGACTACGCGGTGAACAAATGTTTCAGCGTTGACTGTGCAGCAGAGCTAGAGGTGCTCGGCACGAGTTCAGGAGCTGAACGGATATAAAATTGGCAATAACAAGAACGATAAAAGCATGACTATATGGACGTGACCAAGACTGAAAGCGTGCCCAGTGGGAGCCACAAGCCCCACACTGAGGACCCGCAGGAGCACGCTGCAAGCGTGGATTTCAGACTCTTTCCTAGTGAACCTGGTCCAATTTTCAGAAACACAGGAATAACCACTCTCCTAGGTAGGGCAGACACCTTCACATTCAGCACTATCCTGGTATCTATTGCAAATAAAAAAAATCTATTGCACCAAATACTGGTTTAATTTCTTCATGCTCTTCACTGACGAATCTGAACAAGACCTCTGGGAGGCAATAAAGCATTATAACCCCCTTCCCAGTTGGCGGAGGGGGCTGAAGTAACAGTGAAAATAGTCATGCGCTTAAAAGAGGTTCTTCTAGATTTCCCTTTTCTTTTTCTGCCCTGGAAACGAGCAAATATATCTGTTTTTAGAACTATTTATTTCCATTAGCCAGTAACATCTGAGGGCAGCGAGACAATTTGCTTAGGGTATTGTAGTTTGCATCGCTGTGGTTTCTCCATACTTGGAGCTCCCAACTTGTGGGGCCTCAACTATCTGCATATCCAGACATTTTCATTTTGCGCATTTATGGAGGTTTCTAGAAACCATTTACGGCAGAGAAACCGGAGTGACAATAACCTGCCACATCCCAGGCTTGCAGCAGGAGAGGTTACAGCGCTTCCCTCTGCACAGCGCTAGCGGGCAACGCGCGTGCTCCCGGGCAGTTCCTCGTCATTTGTTATTTAGGTGTCACGTTCTTCCTAGCGCTTACTGTTCGTTTAGCATCGGCAGTTAATGTTCCCAAGCATTTATCGTAGAAAAGCTTTGAAAGGAGTCTGCTGCTTTGCTCGTGGCTATTTATTTGCAGAATGCTCCTGGTTTCTTCTTCTGAAGACTGCAGGACTGCAGTGGGGGGGGCGCATGTTCCTCCCGTTTATTCCGGTATTCCTTCATTCTGCACCTTCACATGGAGGCAGCTCTTCACTGCCAGTTTTAAGGATGGCTTGGCCTGGGCCTCAGCTGCATCAGTCAGATATGTTAAAACCCCAAAATGCATATGCTTTTAAAATGACAGTTAGGGTTTGAAAACTAAAATAACTACAGATTTAACCCAAAGCTCACGTCCCTCTGTAAGGATCAGCAGGATGTTTTATTAACTTTCAGGCTTCCTTCCATAATGATTAAGTGCACCATGTTTGCAGCTAATACCTTTTTAGGCAGCATAAACAAATAGCTCTATTTGTAATCAATTCTAATTTATTCACATTTTAATTGAAATATCCCCTCCCTGCTACCACCCATAGCTGAGAAAACATGTACGGCCCCATCTATCATGCAGGTGTAAACACTAAAACGCTGTGTGGGCAATTACCAGAAGAAGAAATGCTGCTCGGCAAAATGCTCTTATAGTTTTAACTCCTTGATCCACTGCATTGCTTCTCTTGGTCTCCCTCTTTTCTTTTTTTTTTCTCCCTCTTTTTTTGATGCGCCGACCTCGTCAGTCACCCCGGGATTAGGCGGCTGCTTGGAATTCCTGGTCCACCGTGATCCTACGGAGCCCGGGCCGCTGCGGAGGCTACTTAAGAGATTATAAACTACCCTAGGAAACATTTTCACTACCAAGTTTTTTTATAAACTTTTTTATTTCCACATCGCCATCCTCGCTGGCATAGATTGAAAAGAGGTCTAGAAAAGAAGCTACACTGTTTTAGACTGGATCAGTAGTACGTCTAGCTACCCAGATTACTACTAGCACGTACATTTGGCTGCTCATTACCATACATTATCCAGATACATACCACCTGTCACATAGGAATCACAAAGCAATGTACATATTTTCTCACGTAATCCTCCGAACACTGGTACGGGGTATCATCACCATCTCCATTTCCCACGTGGAAAACCTGAGATACAGATGACTGGTTGCTCCTCAAGTAGCTAGGCAGAACCCGGGAACCCTAAAACCAGGGTGCTGACCTGTCTCCTATCCCCTCTGACGATGCACTGCATACTGAAAAGCAGCCATACGTCATCTCCATCAAAATTCAGATGGAAATACAGGAGCCGAACAAATTAAATGGGCTTAACCCAGCAGTATATATTTTAACAGTGCCACACATAATCAATCTTTTGGAAGATGTTGGAGCCCATCTTTGGCAGGGAGTATCAGCACATACCGCTGTGGACGTCAGATGGGATTAGAGCTGTTTTTTCTTTCCCAAGCCAAAAACTGCTATGGCATGC